CCTAACGGCACAAAAATACTTTACAGCGTGAATGGAAGTTCCCTCTTAATTGTACGGCAACCGAAATGTCAAACGAAACCACATTTGAAATAGAATTGCACAGTGACTCGACTTCGACTCTTCTCCGCCATCTCCCTTGCTTTAGCGATATTAAAACAATGTAATTGTAATTCCGTCGATGATCCGTTGCCGTTTGTTTCCTTTGATCGTATGCTTAAATATAATAAGCGAAGAACACCTTGCGAACGTTGCGCGCCGCGCCTAGAAACGGTGCGTCACAATGATTCGATCGGCCACGTTCCAAGCATCGTCAACTTTACAATTTCGCAGCGTTTTTGTACGACAATTTACATATGATTTCCACGTGTCTGGAAAGACAATTTGCGTATATCGTCGGGATCCAGCCGTTCGGATCTCCATTAGTGGTTGATAAAAAGAAAAAGAAAAAAAGAAAGAAAGAAACCGTTGCGAGCCATTAGGGGGGACGAACTCGTGCCGATTAGCACAAATTCTAATCGCCGGCGATAGTGAGCCGTGAAAGATGTCTTAGTTTAATTATCGCAATGAAATTTATATCCGACCGTGCGCGTTTAATCGCGCTGATTTCACACGCACGGTCAAGCGGTGTGCGTCCGTGCGGCGTCTTAATCGGGGCGGAACACGCGCGCGGCGAGTGACATCGTGAGGAGGCGAAAAAGTTAATACTGCCAGTATCTCGTGTGTGTGTATATATTATCCCCCACGTCCCCCTTTCCTCCCCCTCCCCCCTCCCCTCCTCCCACACACTCTTTCTCCCTTTTTTAATATATAAATATCCTACAACTTTCCAGAATAACGCATAGTTATGTACGTTATATACCGTTTGTATGGCGATTACAGAGCGTGCGATAAAAAGAGCTCGAGGGAAGCTCGGCGTGTTACTTCCAGAGCGGATCGTCCGTCGTCCGGGCGGGTCATCGTTCTCGGCGACGTGTTCAGTGTTCTTCGCATGAGATTTCAATGAGACGTAGAAATCCCGACTTCTCAAAGCACACACGGTGCGCTTCTCTGCCGCGGCGTCAATTGCGGCGGAAAATCCGTAATTGAGCGTTTTAGGAGTTATTTCATTCGCACGAGATTTATGTGATAATTAAGTCCTCTTTTTAGTCCTCTAGCAATCGAGGGTCGGAGCCCCCCTCCCCCCCGATCTAAAATAAAAATTTTCGAAATGCTTGCGCGCGCGCGCGCGAGAGAGAGAGAGAAGCACTTTAGTCAATGCACAATTAAATTAACAAACTGTTATTCGTAAATTTAGAAATATTCTACGTTGTTGAATTAAAGTATTCTGCGATCAGTCGGGCTATTTAACGAGACCATTTGTAAAGTAAGGGCAAGTGTTGGCCACATATATTTGGAATTTATTTCGTATTGTGAATTAAGAAATTGCGATTTATTTAATTCCGCGCCGTAATTGACCAAATCGAGTGAGTGAGATTTCACGCAAACGAAAAAAAAAAAGGGGGGAGAAAAATGTTACTTTACAGACTTACGAGTTAATGGTGCCTGGGTTGATTTTATATGTGCGAAACAGTCGATTAGTTTTTAATTTTCATCGATATTTTATATGATGTATTAATTCGAGTGCTGGTTACCCGAATACAGAACGCCGTCATTTGTTGCGCATTGAAACGCCGTTTATTTGCCGCGATCGAAAGTGTGACATTGACACTTTTGTTCATCCGGAACGATTGGGCGAAAGAGAGAGAGAGAGAGAGAGAAAAGAGTGCCGATCGTTTCTGACGGCGATAAGATTGTCCGGCGTAAGCGGTGAATGGTCACGTTACAAGTTTCCGTACCAGCAACGTGTTCGTAATAAATTTTATCCTTAAATATGTACTTTCGACAATATTTCTAATGTAAGCGTCACTTTTGTGAGGTGTTCGTCATTTTGTGCGTATGATCACAACGAACGATCGATCGACAGTGCGTTTTTTCGTGCCAACCAAGTTGTTGGAAGTCTATTATTTGAGAATGAAGAACCCACCGCTCGCAGTCCAAATTTCGTAGAGTTTACTTTAGTAATAAGACTCGATTGTGCGATTGCAGCTAGTAGATTTGAAAAGCAGCCTTGACGGGCGAGAAAGTGGATCGCCGAGCCGAAATCGATTCTGTAATCTTCGTGCGGAGAGGAATGACTGTAACGTGCAGGAAAAATAGGCGAAGTAGCGAAGTGTGTGTGTGTGTTTCATGTAGCGAACGTGGTGCATTTGTACGTGTATACTTGCATGCGCGATAAACTTTGAAAAGAGAGCGAAGCGAGCGATAAATCGTTTGGGTAATAATAAAAAAAAACTCATGACAAAGGCGAGACACCGGAAACCAAATAAGATAAAGGCGTCTGCCCCGGATTTTCAGTATTTGATTACTTATCCCGCGACATCGATTTCTTCGTTTTTTCTTCGAACACGCGAAGACGCTCGTTTGTCCCGCGAAATCCCCAAGATTTCGGCGCGCGCGCGACAGAGAAAGAGAGAGAGAGTGTGTGTGTGTGTGTGTGTGTGCGTGAGAGAGAGAGAGAGAAACGTTAAATCGTTTCGCCAAAATTGTGTGATAGAATCACTTATCTCCGCAGATCTCTGAATTTATGTTTCTGCATAACATTTCCATTTTTAATGTTAATTCAATAGTGGACTCTGTATATACACCGCCTGCGCTTGTATGAATATTGCGATCGTTGCTGTTGCCGATACCTTTGCCATTTCCTTCCAATCGTTTATCATTAGAACGGAAGCTGTTTGCAAATTGGCATCGTTTTGCATCATTAATCGATGAATCATATCACGAAGAAAGCTTCCGACATACTTCGCATTGTACATAAACCATCAATCGCCCCGTGATGGCCTTCTCGTAGGCTTCTTCGAAAAAATGAACTGCCAGAGCGAATCGTTTGACGAGCATTAACAGTGACTGCACCGTGTTGTGCAACGCGAAACCAAATAGCATATTTGTTGAAATTTCAGTTAACGAGAAGCAACACTTCTCAGGTGATCCTTTCATTCTTCACGATGAATGTATCACACATTGCATAACATGATGTAGTTTCGTTTCTCCTTTTGTAATTATAATAATTAGTATCGTAACAAGGAAATTGGAAGGGAATGAAAGGGAAACAGCTGAAGCATTTTTATGTTTATAGTATATATATATATATATATAATATATATATATATATAGATATATATATACGGAATGTATTCCAGAATTATCGCCACTCGATTATCAAGCGGGTTTTTCCCCGAGCAATTTAGAATCGACTTTCCTCAACAAATATATTTTAATCTATCGCCTTCACAATTTTAAGTCTTCAGAGCGAAGGCCCTTTTTAAACACGAAAATTATTTATCTTGTCCGTTGTTATTCTCATTGCGAAAAGTTCGAATCTAAATTGACGACAGAGGTGCACAAGTGACGGCAGTGACGACGATTTTGGAACATATCGTATATGCATATAAATAATTTTACTTAAGATTACCTTAAGAACTACAATTCTGATTTTTTTTTCTCGAGCTGTCACTGACAGCACGCTGCCCGTCGTTGTTGCGCCAAGCCACGGAATTCATGTTTAGTTTTCGATCGTTGTCACTTGGCACGACGGTGCTTGCCTGTTGGAGAACCGTGCTCTCCGTGTTCATTGTTGTTTTACTCAGCTTGTGTAAAGAGACTGATCCATAAACTCCTTCACTCTTCATTTTCATACTTCATCTGTTTCATCGACTCGAGTGATGCGCACGCGGAGATCCACGTACAAAAAAAAAAAAAGTAAAAGTGAGAAGAATGAAAGATCATCGAGATCGATGACCGATGATCACGAAACCGCTGCTGTAAAGAGAGAATAATAAATGACACGCGTAGACTTAACGACAGCTATTGATATCCCACCTTATGAGTATTCGTATAGTTAAATAAATTTCAGACATATGAATTATGAACAGCAATAAAAGCTCCATTTTTCAAAGTACGAAGACAGAGAATTGATTACATTATTTATGACGATGTAAATAAAACACGCGCGAAACTTGCACTTTAAATAAATTAATAAATAATGGCAGAAAATATAAAAGTGATTATTTGCGATTAAAAATGATGGAAAAAATTCAGTTTATAGCATATTCATATGTCGATTGCAATTATATAACAAGCGTTACAAATTATTTATGGCTAGAGAAGGATAGACTCGGAAATCAGTGATGATAAAGCGGCTCCCGGTTGTACATGATTCTAACATAATGAAGTAGTTTTTTTAAAAAACCCATGACAGTACGCTATGAAAGTGTGTCAAAAACTAAATATTCGAAATTATTAACTAGTAAAATTTCTCACTTTCGATAATTGCATTAATCATGACGATTATTAAGTTAGAATTATATATAGCAATGAATTGTGGGACCATGTGGTACATAATAAAAAAATTAATATTGAAGCGAATACCAAATATGTATCATGAACGAGCGATAATTTTTATTAAATGCTATCGATATTGATTACGAAAGTATCAAATAATAGCAAATTATGAAATTTAGACTGGTTAGTCTCTAAGAAAAATTCACACTTCTCACATACCCCAATTGCTTCAATTAAGATTTATAATGTTGCGTTAAAAATTATTCATTATTCATAAATACGTAAAATTAGGAATGGATGATGCAGGAGTAAAAAAACTTTGTTAAATAAAACTAATTTTGATTGCATTTATCAAATATGTATAATTGAAAACAACATAACAAGTTTAATTAAGAAAATTTAATAAAGAGTTAACATTAAATATTGCGATATGTTAAATATAATATTTTATTTTTGTTCATTATTGTGCAAAATATAATAATTTCAAATTGAAATATCTCGTTCAACTAATGTTTGAATATAATCGTTCGAAAAAAAGAAAAAAACATATAGTTTCATAATAATCGATTATACTTGCATGTTGCTTATTAGAATACTATTCGATTAACGCTGCACAAACGTTATCGAACAATGCAAGATCACTTTATTACGCATAAATGTAATTTACACAAACGCATACAAACATAGAACAATAAAATTTTTTAAATTTTATTCCTGACGCGTCCAAATTAATTCGCGTCAACCAGCAAAAGATTTGTATATAAAAAAATATAAGTAATTTTAAATACTAACAAAATATAGTATCTTACGCGTAATACGAAGCACAAACGATTTCAGTATGTCACGCGTGTGCGCGTATATGTAACAAGATACACTGTACAAACTGATAAAAAATTTTACAAAATAGCTAAATGTTATTTATTAGGACGCAACAGATTGAACTCGTCCAATTCTAAATTAATAAATTAATTATTTATATATATTTATCGACATCTTCATTATGAAGATGGAAGAAAGAATTCTTAACGAGCCTATTGAAAGACTATTCGTTGAATCTTCAACAGCCTACATAGATTGTCAAAAATTTACAATCCCAAACGACCTTAACAGATACATTTGTATTAATACATATTAACAAGTTGGTGTTATCACTGGTAACTAATTCACGAACTATGCTCTAGAAAGAATCCTGCACTCATCATCCAATGGGAATTATTTGATTTTGTTGCCGGTATCACTTCTAAATACACATGATCATCATCATTTGTGTCAGGGTGTCATTACTGATGCTAGAGAATGGAATATCTCAGCTTGCAACGGTCCGTAGTCCACTTCTTCGCCGTCCACAGTTATATGCCCGTTCGTTCCTTCCATAGGCTCTATCCGGAATGCCTTCACAGGTATCATATCAACGCCAGGGCAGGCAAGATGTGTCCCGTTACTCAGGCCTAACAAAAACTAACAAGCAAATACTGTGAGTATTAGTTTTCTTTCTTTTTTTTCTTTTTTTTTTACAATTTTTATGACTTACTTGCACTAAATTGGCTCGGGTTATGCCGGCTTTAGCTATTAAAAGCCAAATAACTCCGTCTGCTAATGCAGCGTGTGGCGCGAAGAAATAATCCTGTCCCAAATGTGTCTGATAAGCTGCGTGTACCATTACGAATTCCCCTAAAATTTGAAACATAAAGCATTCTAAAATATTCAGAAGCATTGTGCTGCAGCTGAAATGCTTTCTCAATGAAGATTCATCGCATTCGGCATTTTATCGAATGATATATGACGTTCGAATTTAACTGGAGTTAAAGGGTTAATAAGTGACGCATTACGCAGCAACCTTTGCACCATATTATATGGCAATTACAAGAAACGCGTCTGCACTCGAATTCTTGTAAATTTACACGTTATACATATTAAAATTAATATTTTTGATCCGATTGTATATTTTTGATTATTTAAAAAAAAAACCCAAAAAATGGAAAGTTTAAAAATCGAGAATTTTCAATTTAAACCAAAATATAGACCTTTTAGAAGAAATGTAATACAATTGCACTTGCAAGCTCACGTATAAGATTACTATAATTCAAACTATTACCCTACCTTGAACTGTTGTCCAGCTGTTGTTTGACAATTGTGAAGTAAGTGCTGGAATCGTAGACGATGGTCCATACATAAGTTGGTTGTTACAAATGTTCTCCGGACCTGAATGAAAGAGACACATTATAGATTTATTAATAGGAATGTTTCAAAGTCAACAGACATATTCAAGTTTCAATTAGTAACGTACTGATTTCTGCGCTATCGTCGTCATTGATACTGTGATAGCTCGAGGCCGAACCCGTGCTGAAATAAGTTGACTTCGCGGATGTTGCGGAGTAGAAACTGTCGAGTCTGCGTCTTCTTTCAGTCTCGGTCTCCAGCGCCAGATTTTCAGTTATCACGTCATTGTCGTCGCAACCGTTCAAATCGTTCGATGATTCACCCAAGCAATTGTAAAAGCTCCTTGGTACAGGTTCATTGCAGTACCTATACATAACATTTCACGTGTACCGCTTGTGTCAATCACATAGTAAGCGCCAGACGGCACAGATAATACATTATTTTCCTTATTATGTCTAACAAAGCGTGGCAGCCAATTATCGAAAATATTTTTCAAATTGAAGCCGAATAAGAGTGGCTCAAACAAGAGTAATTATTTTTTCGAAGATAGATTCAGTTTCTACATTTCGCAATGCACAAATTTGAAGCGAACAACGATGCAATTTCTACATTCATTTGTATATATTTCTAGATCTGACACATGGCACATCGATAAGGCGTCATATTGACGTAAATGGATATATGAAATTCTTTATTGCCTTTATCGTAATTCGGTAAAAATCGATTCAACTCGTAATGTAATAATTATCAGAGAAATCGCGCATTATATCTCTCATTCACGTAAATATTTCTTATTCGCGTAAATCTATACGCGAGACACTACCGTATCTCTTGATATATACATTATGATAAACAGATCCATCATTACCTATCTAGTTCATCGCCGTAGCTTCTCGAATGCGACAATATGTTATCCGTAGGATATTCTCCGCAATAAATCTTGCCGCCTCCCGTGCTTTCCAACGAAGGAACTTTGCTGCAAGGTATGTACGAGACTTTGCCCTTATACGTTCGCAATCCTATTAGACGCGCCACACTCCATACGGTAAACCTTTGCCCTCCAATAGCGCGCAGTCGCTCGCTTTCGATGTCAATGTCGGCGAGTAGACCCCAGCCTACCGACAGGAATGAAAACAGTATCTGATTCCTAGTTTCTACACGTACGAGATCCATCGGCGATTTTTTGCATTTCACCGCCGCTAACGCGCTGATAAGTAAAGGATTACGGTCGTACGGTTCTCTGAAACAGAAAACATTAAATTCGATGTATTGATTTGGAATACACGATTGTTAGAGAATGACGGATAAATTTCCCCGCAAGTTTATCAATATTCCATTAGAGTTTCATATGGAACAAACGTGATAATAGAAATATAAATGGAACACAACCTCGCCTCGTTAATTGAATGAAAATACAGTTGACCCGTATATAATATATACGTCACAACGTCGCAATGTTCGATTGCACATGAGATCACTCATCCGGAATTCTTTATTGATTTGTGTACGATTTTACGAAGAAAAGCAATTACGGCAATTCGCGCGATATGCTGCGTAAACAAAATGTGGGAAAACTTACTCCTTGGCGTAAGCGATGGATTTCGCCAAGCCGTTTCCGGAACCGCACGGTATGATGCCGAGTGGTAATTCGCGTAAGGCTCTCTCCCAATCGGGCCTTTGGAAAAGCCCGTTCACCACTTCGAAAACGATTCCGTCGCCGCCGACCATTAGCAAGCCGCTCCATTGATAGATGTCCTTCGTGCGGATAAATTCGCGGGCGTAATTATGATGCTTGGTGATGTGGATCTCGTAAGATCTCTCCGCTTCCGAAAGGATCGGATGAATCCTTTTCTGGAAAACTTCTCTACCCCTGCCAGCTCCCGACTTCGGATTCAACAGAACCAGAAGTTTCCGATTCTCGCCTGGACACGCTGAAACGTTAATGAGAATGTCAACTGTATATTATGTACATTAATTTTAATAATTACATTTCAATTTCCGCTCTTCCTTGCCTTGTTCGCAATAGCCGAGTATGACATAACAATTTTTTTCGCGATATAAGATAAAAAATGCACTATCATCAAATCACTGGTGCATAAGTTGTTTCAAAAATTTTTTTCTCAAAATTGGAATTTATTTTTCAATTTTTCTATATTTCCAGGAATTTATTGCAATTGAAAAGGTTGCAAAATTAAAACACTTTTCCACAAAACAAAATTATATAATACTTGAAAAGACAGTTACATTTTAGAGAATATTTCTTAAGGCCAATATCCACGATGCTAGAAATCGGTCCGAGATCTCGGTCCGAGAAACATGTAGCCAATAAAATTGCCGTTTTTCCATAAAAAGTTGCAAGTTGATTAGTTATACATTTCTCAGACCGATTTCTAGCATCGTAGACATCGGCCTTTACACCTGAACTTTCAGAATCCGATATATTATCACAATATTTACCTATCAATTCAAAAAAGATATACAATATAAACAAGTGATAAATTATATTTTTACCAATAAGTAAACAAAGTATAAGCATCTTTTATGTTATTTCTTTATCTCCATTACTGTAAAGAAATAAAAAGTCGATGAATAAGAAAATTAATTATTTTATTTCAATTTATTGATGCGCTTGTTACAAAAGAAAAGAACTGTCAAAACGGATTGATAATCGTATAATTTTTTTGTCATACGGCAAAAAATATTTTTTCTAACATGATTGTTCTGTCGACTCGATTGAACCGGCATAAATAACAGTTTTTTCATGATTGCATAATGTAGCAACAAGTTTAACTTCCACGTAGATAATGATATATAGACGTAAGTATAAACCTTTAGCATATTTTATAAACAAAATATAAAAACAAGAAAAATATATATATGCACGTAAATGGAGCGCTGTAATTCTAACAAATAATAACTTATGTTCATATTTATTTCTAGTTATCACTATTATATATAATTACAAATATGTCGTATAATTCATTATTTATTTATTCCGCATAATCAGCGCATACTTAACAATTTTTTTGCATAATTAGAGCCGCATAAACTGTAGGCATCTTGCCTGAAACTTTTATTTAGTTATTATTTTATTTGTGTCAACACACAATTTACTGCCAAATCAGAAATTATATTTTGCTAAATGACAAATCTGAAGTAAAATAATAAGTGAAAAATTTCCTTTTTAATTTTTATGTTTAAGTTCGTACATTTTTATTTATCTGTATCAAGGATCGCAAAAAAGTCGCCTTGTTATTTCAATATACTATTTCACAAGTCAACTACATTAATTTGCCAATATTGATCGGCAATGTGAAAAATGATGTTTTCGGACGTTAGAGCATCGATTTTACGGAGGCAAGTTTTCTAAGCTTGAATAAACAGTAGTTTTTATGAGATAAAAATTTATCATAGATTCTAAACAATAGTAACGAAGAAATCGAAAAGTGCCTATACATTCTTAATGCAAATTGAAACATTACAAAACACGCAATGCAAAGTGCGCGTTACGCTGAATGCACGTATCGCGTATCCTTGAGAATATTATATGTATAAATGAACGTATGATATATATTTTCACCGTTAATTCGTTGTATCGATTACTATTTAATTCACATTGATAAATTGTACTATATTTAAATAAATTGGAAACTTCCAATTCGATATGTGTATACGCATTTTTAAAAATAACCAGATAAAGATGATTCACATTTATCATATTAAAGCGGAACGAACGAGGTTTCCTTCATTCTTCGAAGACAAATTGATATGAATTCTGCGATTAAAAGTATTTGCAACAAAATACGCACAATACCGCGAGGCAATGCAGAATAGAAGCAACAATGAAAGCTAACGAGATGAAATCAAGCAATTTGAGAGTAGATTAAAAGTTCATCTAACGAGATAAGAGTTGTATCATATTGCTCGTTTATCGCAGTACACGACAGTTTAATTTCCGGAAAAATTTACATTATTTACATACGGCCACTTATAAATTTTGAACTACTTTTGTCTTTGATAATTTAATGTAATGTCCTTAATAACTTAAATTAAATATTATACGATAAGACAAGGTTAAATAAATTTCGAAATTATAAAGTTATTTATCTATTTTCATTATACAAATTTACGCAAATTTATGCAAATTATTGTTTTACGAAAGTTTTTAGAAAAGGTAAAGATAATTCGATTCAAGTTGTTTAAAAAAAATCGTTAAAAAGCAAACAACATATACGTAATATTATCAAAATTCAGAAAAAATTAGCTTATATCATGTTGATAAAAATAATAAATACCAATAAATTTCTATTAGTGTTAAAAAATATTGAAAAAATTATTTTCTAAATTAGCTTATGTAATGATGTGATATAATTATGTTAGGTAATTATTTAATGATTTATGATTTTTAAAATAAAATTAAGCGATACATAAATAGATTAAACAAAAACTCCTTATACAACTCATGAATCTTAATTGGTTAAATAACTAATTAATAATAATAATTAAAAAAACATGAAAAAACGCATAAAAGTGACGAACAAATGAAAAAATGGCGAAAGATCTTGCTGCTGCACAGCAGTGTACTTATATCTGTTTTAAATCATTGTATCGTGGCATTGTAACATTATCGACAGCATATACAACGCTAATATCTATGAGGGTCAAATGTTTTTTTACAACCATTTGTCTAACGAGGCACTTTCAAACATCCAAGCAAGCGAGCTTCGCTTCTTGGTTAAATTGATACGTCAAATCTCACAAAGGTGTGAAAAATCGTTAACGTCCAACCGATTTCCAGAAAAACTACTCAAACGAGCAATAATTTTCTAGCGATGAAACGCGTCAAGAAATAATTATTGTTATTAATTCTATTTATATCTGTGTCAGCATAGATAATGCTTACGCAACTGCAAACGCAATTTGCGCTGCCATTCTCTCATTCAACGTGCCATTTTTGCCGATCTTCTCGTGTTCAATAACAAGTAACTCGAAACGGAGTTTAGTGTTTGATATTCAAAGAGCTATACACAATGACGATGTTGCATAATTGTGGAAGATAAAGGTCCATTCGTTCGCTCCCGCATTTATACTGCATCCGTTCCGGCGCGATGAGATATTATTTCCGCATATCCGTGTTGTATAAATATAGTTCAGAGAGAACAATTAGCAATTTGTCTGCGAACAAGTGAAATGCATGCTCCATTCGCTCCGTGCCGTCAAGATATTGCGAATCATATCGGCGGCGCCGAAGCTCTCTTTAGCTGGTAAAACCAAATCAACAAAATTGAATGCGGCCTATTCGGTGGATTATTTAATATTTATTTTGTACTATTTTGTAGCATCAAAAATAATTTTGTATCCCGTGCTATTTAAGAAAAAATCGCTGCTAACTCAATATGAAGCTAGCAGGACGTACAAAATTAAAAAATAATAAAACAAAACAGATACAATTAGTGCTGAATTTGTACTATTTTGTATCCAAAACAAATATTTCTATCATCTTTTTAAAACAACCTCACTTCAACTAGCCTCAAGAAAACAAGACTCCGTCGATCTTTAACAAAATTAAATCAGTAGAATCGAATGGAATTTATATTGCATTATTTATTACTCATCTTGTATTATTTTCTTTGCTTTGTTTTTCTTTCTTTTTTATTTTTTACAAAATAAGTATTATTACAAAATAAGTATTATTTTTTACAAAATAAATAATCCACTCGCATTCGACTATCTGGTCCCGCTAGCTTAAGAGTGCTCGGCACCGATACGCATGCTGATCACATAAACGTGAACAAATACGTTTATTTAGTCTGGAATATAATGTAGCACGTGGTCGAATGCGATACGGCAAGTGCGAACGGACTCGAAGCGCCAATTTATAACCGAGTTACAATATCGCGGGTTATCGAAATGAGATAAAACAAATTATTATTGCATTCCTCTTCTTAAGACAATGATTTCTCTAGCAACGCGTACAATCGAGTTAAGTGGTTTGCGCGGCCGTAAGGTCTAATATATACGCAAAGAATTAAGTACAAGGCGAAGCGCTTGATAAATGTCCGAGACAAATAATAGCGAAACGGATTTTCCTTTCTTTTTCCCGGAATACTAATGTTTTTTAAGCACGTGGAATTTTCCAGCGAACATCACGTCAATCGGCAATCGCAAGATCTGAGCTCGCTATGTTGCACCTATTGTGCAATTTTCATTCGTATCTTGAATTACTCGATCAGATTTATTTTAATGCTGCGCACTGATTTAAAATATCGAGTGGCAATCGATGCATTTGAGATAAACATCGCCAAAATTAAACTCTTTAGATAAACAAATTATGTTCTTTAGAAAGATAAATTGATCGTTAAATTGCAACGTCCATATACTCGATGCTGCGAAGCTAATAGAAAAAGCACCGGACTTCGTCACTGCTCTTATAGAGCAAGCGCCATTGCCGCAATGAATATTATTGCACAAAAGACATATTGAACTTTTATCTTTAAGAGTACTTTAAGTGATTGTGTATAATTGCAAAAAAAGAAACTGAATCATACTCCACGGAAAGATATCACTCCGATATCATTGTTTGAAACTCCGCAGTGTTGAAACTCCACAATAATGTACGTCAGCGAGGTCGTGAAAATTAAACGCGGAAGTCGCGTTTCGTAATCGAAACGTTTTTTAACGACACGATTATTACGTATTATCGCGTTATTGTGTATTAAACACAATGTTTTAAGAGTGAAAACTTATTTTGACTACCTAATGAAAACCATATTGTGTGTTCGAGTAGCAAACCACGCGCCACGATCAATATAGAAATCACCAAGATATCACAATATATAATCGCGACAAAGATTGTAAGAATTATCATGTAGAATCGATCATTCAAGATTATTATAAACGATATTAATAAATATGTTTTCTTCATCGAATTCTTCGTATAACAAAAATAAAATACAACAGTGCAGTGTAATAAAATGGATTCCGACAAAGAACTGTGCAATCTGCGCGCAATTCAGCGTTTTCTCTGTTTTCTCGTCGAAAAATATGACATAAATTATTTCGTTTTCGAAATTTCTTATCCACAATATCTTTATAAAAGAAATCGTAATATTGCGAAAAACTTCAAACTTTTTATTCAATTTATATGGTTTGCTTTCTACAGAGTTTCTTAAAAAGTTAATTGTAAAATATTGTATGTTTAGGGTAAACTATACGATTTTGAAATATGGAAATATGCACTCAGATGTTACGTGTTTCCCATTTCTTGATTGATAAAATTTAAATTCGTCAGATTGCGCATAGATCACGAGATATAATGTACAATTGCTTGCGTTGCAAGATTATATAAGAGAAAAGGAAGTTATGGAAACTTACGGAGATTGGCTACAATATATATTTTGCTTCTCTATGAACGTGTACAATCACCGTGCAATTCGCATAATACACAGGCGGAGTATGAGTGATCATTATACACTTAGTAATTACGCGTATATCATATCAGAGTGAATGGTTGCGAAACGAGCAACAGTCATTGGAAATCCAGAAATTCCAATCTAAGCTGCCGCTTTAGATCCATCACTTGCTTGCTCATCTACAGGGTGGCACACGAATAGTTGACACATTTTAATTTTTAATTACAGCTTTTACATCGCAATAAGATCGCAATTTTAGGTGTCCTTGGAAATTTATTTCACGATATGACACGTTCAATAATGTTTACAAGTGCGGAAAGTTGTTCTTTTAGATATCTCCAGAAAGAAGTCGAAAGAGATTTAAATCGGGGCTCAAAGGTGGCCAAAAAAATCTTCTTTGCGGCGCTCTGAATAGCGATTGAACATCACGCGATTACCGAACGCTGCATTTAAATAATTTAATACAACATTAGCGATGAGAAATAACGTGGTCTTACATAAATCATTGAGTATCAATAAGCAGATTAGTCGTGCGATTCATGTGCCGCAGAGTTATCACACAAATACACGCCTTGAAGAGGTTGTTCGGCGCAATGGAAACCATCGAACTTGTCATACTGTGAAATAAATTTTCAAGGATACATTTTGTACAAATTGTAATCGTATGCGATGTAAAATAAAGTTGTATCTCAAAATTGAAATGTGTCAATTATTCGTGTGCCATTCTTAGTGATGATGTGTAATTACGGTGAATACGTGGATGTCAATTTATTACCGAGATTCCAATGCTTCTGTAAAGCTTCTGAATGAAATTGTTGAAGTGAAATGTTGAGGACGATCTTGTTTTCTAAGAATTCTGTTAGATAGAGCATGTATCTTATTTATATTCTGATAATCGTGCTGTCTCATGTACACAACTTAATCTTGTAACACAACTGAAAAGTGTACAAAGTTGATATAGTGGAGAATATTTTCTAATTTTAAGAGTCGATTTTAAAAATGTCATCGAAATTGGTATAAACAAAGTTTATTTTAGATTTTAGATTTTTACTTTTTGTACGAAATTTCTCTTTCTCGATTGTAACGCAATTTCGTAATATTCAAATGTTATTAATTCATAATAACACAATAATATACTCGTTCTTGCTAATGATGCGATGCTAATATAATGAATGATACACTTTGCAGTATACTTAAGCCGTTTCACAGAATCTTTCATAATATTAGAATGTTTTAATAACTATAATCGATAAACCACAAGCGAATTAGCGGAGATTACTTAATAAGTATGCTAATAAAATAACATCTAATTTACACACTGTCTAATAACTACTAACATCGCGACCTCATAACGCAAGTATTACTCAGAAGTCTCGCGTAGATAAAAAATGTTTACATCTTTCACACGCGTTTAACGGATGTTATTGTTGTTTTTCTACACCGAATAAATCTATTAATTTTGCAAAGAAAAACTGACCGAGCAGCAGCTTCAGCCGACAGATATTGATTGAGACATTAAACTGTTAAATGCGCGTGCATACGAAACGTTAAATCGCAAAATACATCGCCAACGATTGCTGGCCATTCCTCTTTGTTTACAAACTAATCTGACTAATTTGGCGCATCAATACATTAATAATATGCCAACAATAGACTGAATAACACGTTTGAATCCTTAAAACTGACGTATGCTCGATTATCGAGATACTCACCCCCGATCAATGTCTCCAGATTGCCGTGGCTGGGGCTCATCAGATTCTTCGGCACCGGCACATTGGCAACGAGGCATTTGATGGCCAACCGCCACCTGCTCGCCTCACGCAGATTATCCTCGTATTTATCGAAGCTGCGGAAACGCAGGGTGATGGTGGTGCGTTCGCGTCTGAGCGCACTCTTCACCCTCATCTTTTTCAGCGTGTATGCGTATATGTACAGATATGCGGACGTGTCGTGCTCATCGTAGTGCTGATAAATCTCGGCCGACTCGACTAACTTCAGCTGTGACTTGGACGCGCCCGGTCGACAGGCGCAACTGCCAGCGTTCCTGCGCTTCGAGCGCATGCACCTGCAACCGATTATGTCGCACAGGGCGATCGTCTCGGTCTTCGTGGCACCGTTGTGCTCCTTCTGCAAACTCAGACCCTTCTCCGTCAGCTTCACCTTGTAATACGTGTTCTTCTTCGACGTCACGTAGAAAATCTCCTCGAGGACGGCGCTCGAATTCCCTTGAGCGGTGTCCTCCATCGTACGCCGTTGATGCTTGCTCTCCACCATTTGCGACGGCGACGAAGGGAGATGAGAACTGCAACCCGGTAATCAAATGTGCTGATCTGTTTCGCTTTCTCGGTCAACCGTCACGTTCAAG